CTTCTTATCAGCTGGACGCTTCACTCTCCACTCTAGTCCTCTGTGGCTATGTCACTGACTCTGGGCCCAAGAGTCCCCAGGTCTTGCCACACTGCTGGCTAACCAGGTCTTCACCTGGAGAGAACAATATGTTTTTTAATGACAATTTTTAAAGACTGTGTGTTTTGTTGTAGAGTCAAATGATAAGAATGCAAATGCTTGAAAACGTCTCTGATTGAATGTTTTCATTGATGGAAGTCCGAAACTTTTTGTATGAAGTAAATGAGAATTCTAAGATTTTTTTTTTTTAAGTTACTGATTGTTAATTCATATCCTTTCTATCTCCCAAAAAACAACAGGTATTTACCTCCTGAGTGTTTTGTAGTTGGAAAGGAGCCACCAAAGATTTCCAACAAGGTTGATGTGTGGTCAGTTGGCGTCATCTTTTTTCAGTGTCTCTATGGTAGAAAGGTATGTTAGTGAACTGACACCTTTTCAGCTGTGTAATTAACATGAAGTCAATTTAGATTCTTCCAAGGAAAGCCCATCTTTTGCTCATGGATCAAATTAACTTTAATGTCACAATATTGACCTGCTTTTGGCATTCTGCATGTGTGTGTGTATTGTGGGCTATGTGGGGGTGGTTTAAGAAAAAAGTAACTATTAACAGTGCTAACATGTTCTGTGTTAGAAATATAGGAGTCAGGGTACATATCATTGTCCTCCAAACAGTCTCTCCACTTCTAAGCTACTCCTCTTCTCTGCAGACCTGCCTTCCCTAGCTTGGCCTAGGCGAGTTTCCCCTGTGCATCCTCAGGAAAATACCACCTAACACAGTCCTAATTCTACCCACACCTCTCATACATTGAAGTCAGAACTTCAGGTTACCATAGAATACTATCTAGGCCACATCCCACCACAATACCTTCATGTATTAAATAAGGGAGAGAGGTTAAGGGACACTTTTTGGAGATTCATAAAAAGTTAGAACCAAACCTAGGTGTCCTAACTTTAAATCTAGGGCTATATCACTGTAGCTTATTATGTACAAAGTATTTTATTCTTGGGCATCTTCACAGATCCGTCTTCTGGATGTCTTTCCTAGTCAGACTTAATTTTTTGTCAGTTTGTTTCTATTTTATCTCAGTTACTTCACTTACATTGGAACAGAATTCTCCTGTTTCTCTGTGTTTCAGACTATGTTAAAGTTTGATTTAGATGAGCTTTCTTTATCTGCCGTCAATTATAACCTTGTTTCTATCTGAATTATTTAAAGTTCCAAATAACTGCGGTAAAAATTTTAGAACACAAAATCCTGAGGATTTGCTAGTGACCTCTATGTTTAAAAATTTTGAGAGAGAAATTTCTCAGTATTACCTTCCTTGTTTTTTAGCCATTTGGTCACAATCAATCACAACAAGACATCCTTCAAGAAAACACAATATTAAAAGCCACAGAAGTTCAGTTTCCTGTAAAACCAGTTGTAAGCAGTGAAGCTAAGGTATGAAATGTATGTGAATAAGGTCTGTGAAGTAAATTTTACTTCAGAAATAGTGCTTAAAACAAGGTAAGTACTTTATTAGTAGTTTGCTGGTGTTCATGAAATCAGTACAGTAAGTACTGATGGTTTGCGCTGAGAAAAGGAATTGTTTTAAGACTTTGGTTATGATCATATTCATTTTTTAGGGAACCTAAGTGTGGTTTCTAAGGAGCTCTGGTAGCGTAGTGGTTACGAATCGGGCTGCGAACCTTAAGGTCAGCGGTTCGAAACTACCAGCCGCTCCGCGGGAGAAAGATGAGGCTTTCTATTCCCGTAAAGATTTACACCCTCGGAAACCCTGTACAGGGTCGCTATGGGTCGGAACCGACTTGACGGCACTTAACAACAACAACAACAAGTGTGGTTTCTAGTTCTTTGTGCATGCCAACTTGCTTTTTTGAGAATTAGGGGAAGTCACAAGATCTGGGTCCATCTTTTGATATCTTGTGTATCAGCTTATATGAAAACTTCACCTCAGATGTGGAAGTAATAGTAAGTGTCACTTATTTAGTGTTTCCTATGTACTAGGAGTCCTGGTGTGGCACTGTGGGTTAATGCGCCGAACTGTAAAGCCGTTTGAACTGCAAGGTTGGTCTGCAGTTGAAGCTCACCAGCTGCTCCTTGGAAACGCTATACAGGGTCGCTTTGCATCAGAATCGATTCGACTGCACTTCACAACAACAACACTGTGCTAAGAGGAGGGAGTGCTGTGACTTCATAAAATAAGCATTGGACTTTGAACCACAAGCTCTGCAGTTCTAGTCTGTCAGCCACTCTGAGAGGGAAAGATGAGGCTTTCTGCTCCCACAAAGATTCAGAAAGCCTCAAAAACCCTATATAGGGCTTCTGTGAGTTGGAACTGACTTGAAGGCACTTAACAACAACAGTATGACAAGGGCACTTGGTGGCTTCATAAGCCTTGGGCTACAAACCACAAGGTTGGGGCTTCAGGCCCACAAGCTCTCTGCAGGAGAAAGATGGGTCTTTCTGCTCCCTTAGAAGTTTTAAAGCTTCAGAAACCCAATAGGCATTTAACATTGTTTTGATAGTCATTGTCATTTAGCAACTTAAGAGGAGGTAGAGTTACTTTTGCTATCCCATTTTATAATACCAGCCAAGCCGTAGCAAAAATCAGTGCCTTGTCTAGGATCTTACTGACTTACAAGTAGCAATGGAGTGGCTCACAAGTGTCCACTTCTGCCACACTCAAATCCATGTCCTTGACCTTTTAGCTGCCCTGTATTGGCTCTTGAAATGCTTTTACTCTCTGTGACCCCCTGGTGGAATTGTCCCTTTTCTAAGTCCTGTAAAATTTGCAAGAAAAATACACGCTTCTATTTTTTCTAGTTTCTCTTCCTAAATGATGCTGTATGGTGCCCTCTTTAAGGTTAGACTAGGTTTCAGAATTGAAAATGTACTACTTAGAGTTTTCTCGATTACATGAGTTTATTGGAAATCCTCAGCATTGCATCATCTCAACATCTTGGTATTTGTGTGTGTGTGTGTTATTTGAATGACAGTTAGATGATTTTGGCAAAAGACAATATATTTTACAGTAACAGGAAAAATTAAAATCAAGGAAGAAAAAGATTTATGAAATAAAAATATCTTAACAGTTGTTAAGTGCCATCGAGTTGGTTCCGACCCATAGTGACACTGTGTAGGGTTTCCAAGGAACAGCTGGTGATCTTGAACCACTGACCTTGCCATTCAAACAGTTTTGCAGTCTGGCACATTAACCCACAGCACCACATCAGGACTCCATCTTAACAGTACTAGCATCGAAATCTTGTCTTCTGTTTCTTGCTGCAGACTCTATGAGAACAGGATTTAAATGAATTTGTTGTTGTTGTTATGTGCCTGGAGTTGGTTCTGACTCATAGCGACCTTGTACAGGGTTTCTGAGGCTGTAAATCTTTACGGGAGCAGAAAGCCTCATCTTTCTCCTGTGGAACAGCTAGTAGTTTCAAACTGTTCACCTTGCAGTTTGCAGCCCAATTTGTAACCACTACGCTACCAGAACTCCTTTTAAATGAATTTAGTCAAAGCAAAATCCATATATTTTTTTCAATGTTGAGTTTATGCAATATGCCAAAGAGGGAGCCCCATGTGTCCATTTCTGGTTCTATCATGGAATCTAGGAAGGAGATGGGGTTGGGGGTGCAGGCAGATGTACAGGAACTTTTTAAAAATCTTTTCTCCCCATAGAACACACCTTTGCCAAGTACTTCACCCTGATGTGGAGTGGACATTTTCTATTAAAAACTTTAGAATGATAAGGTTTAAGTGATAGACTTTTTTTTTTTTTTTTAATTGAAGGTTTTTATTGTGGATTGAGTGAAAGTTTACAGGGCACATCATCAGTTTCAGATTCAACAATTCATATAACTTGTTTCATTACATTGATTATAATCCCCTCCATATACCATCAGCTAAAAGTATTTCTCTTTATCCACTTTA